AATAATATTCGCCACACGTTTGCTCGGGTCAATATTGAACTAAGCTTCCTCGTAATTCCTCACGAAAGACGCCACCGTGCGATTCACTGCTGGCAAAAACTCGTTTCATGATGCGCGACCCTTAAATTTTTGCCCGTTACTAATGAAACTGCTTAAAATATCCATTTGGATACATATATAAATTATAATGCTGAACCTCTGACGGACCATATTCGTCCCCTGTGAATAAATCAACTATTATTGTTGATCATGTTGAAGTCAGATATTGCAATCTTATTGCTCGTATTGAGATGATTAATTTATGATCCTAGTTCAACGTGCTATGTAACATTTAATTTCGAAAGAAATTTCGAATCTATAATAAACTAGATCGAATTAACTGATATTTCTAGAATTTTGCATTGAATATTAACGTACTCGATATTATAGAAGAGCCGATTAAATTCATAATGTCAAATTATATGTATTTTTAATTATACTCCAATTTAAGTTATCTTTAAATTATTTCTATAAGTTGTCATTGTTTCTACTCGCTTAATAATTTTGTTAATTTAACAAAAACGATAAAGTTCAACAAAATAAAAACTATAATTTTCACTTTTTGTGTGTGACAAATGTTATTTTTAACTAAAGAGAAAGAAGGGTTACCATTGCTCTCCTTTGATATCTATAATAGTGCAAGACGCTAAAAGGTTAAAAAAAGTAATTATTACAGAGATTAAACATGATAATCACAGAAGTGCTTAATCATTCGTACGTTCAAGTTTGCGCACGTACACGCTTTGTGCACATTGCATTTTGCCCGATGGTTTCCGATCTCGAGGCGTTTGCAGGTTCGCTGAGTCCGCGGGGTGGAGATACATTATCCGTTCCAGCTCGCGTGAGAGGAAGCGACCGGAGATGGAGGATCCCGCACCTTCTCGCGACGCTCTCGAGCGGGTGGAGTGGCGCTTTGCGGATCGGCCCTGGTGAATCGTGTCATAAATCAGCCGTTACCGAGTCAATTGAGACGTCGCGAGCACTCTTTGTGTTCCGAGTCCGCGCGCCATTGGTGGCTTTTTGTCAAGCACGACGAACTCGTCGGGGACGAGTGAGAAAGAGTGAAAAGGGTCGGCGCGGGTGCCCCGCGCGGTCGTTAAACGCAGCCGTACTCGAGTACCGAAGTAACGATATGCTAAAAGGGCGAGGGAGGAGGATGGAGGGGCGAGATGGCCTCGTCCTTCTTCCTCGATCGCGCGCGCGCGATGATATACGGCTCGATACGATCCTCTCTCTCTTCGTCCACGCTCTTTTGATACTTCCCTCCTTCTGCACACTCTCTTCCGAGTTCCGAAGCTGCCTTTTCGACATCCGCCCGTTCTTCCGTGCCGTTCGTACTCGTAACGACGTACAGCCGCCGCCGGGAAAGTGGTCCTCCGCGGTGAATTACGCTGAAACTTCCGTTCCACCGAGATATACAGTTTCCGACATAATCACCTGTTCACCAATTCCAGCAGAGACAGAGGCAGTTGAAAGGGCATGCACATTCGAGAAAATATAATCGCTGCGTATCGTTGCATCGGGCATGTGGTGCGAGCGTTTATCCGCAGCTTCCGCTATTCCACGTGGCAGTGACCATATGCCGCCAGATCCAGATGCACTCGCGATGCTGCTCGCGAAGATGTAATTACACGCGTACGTTACTCCCTTCCTCTTTAGTTCTCACTTATAATTACTACTGAAATGAGCATTAAAATACTCTTATTTATTGTTTTTATAATATTGTTATTGATTATTATTGCAATTAAAATCCAATTAAATACTTTCTCTTAAAAATTTTTAGAACGAATCTCATTCTGAAATCTCGTTTTTAAATCTTTAGAAATCTTTCTTTTTCAAGACCGTAGCTTAATTTTCACTCTTTAGAATGAGATTCCACTCCAAAGAATTTAAAGGGTTCATTATTAGTTAGAAGACAGATGTGTGTGACTGCGTATCTCGATGAATTTTTACAAACACTCGAATGCAAATTCAGCCGAGTTAAACCATCACATTCTGACTTATTAGAAAGTCCGTTTTAAACTATCGATAGATAATTTAATTATAGATTCTAAATCGATAGTTAAAAATAGATTTTCCGAAGTCATTTGGAAAATATTATTGAAGTAACAGTTTTCACAGCGGAAAAAATTTATTTTTCTTTGAAAATTTAGAAGAAAAATAAATCTTTTTCACTGTGTAAACTGTTGCCGAATATTTTAGAAGAAAAATAAATCTCTCTGTGAAACAGTTACTTGAATAATTTTTCAAGTCACGTTTACGAAGTGTGTAACGAAGATATTTTAATCCGTCTGATAATAATTGTATCGAAAGTAAATTAATAACGCGTCCTACTTGGTCGAAATTCATAATCAAACCGGGAATATACAATTGTAACTTTCGCAGTGCCGAGCCGTTGTTTCAACATCGATGTTAGTTCGCGCGAAGGGAGCTATCAGTGTTACGCCATTAAAAGTTGCAGCATTAGTGGGCGTTAGTTCCTCTAACTCGTTGAGCATTATGATTATACCGCAAAAGTTCCAAACATTATATCACTGCACAAATAGGATATTTATCAAAGTAGTTTGCGCGGGAAAGTGACTTTCTTCTCGTCGAGTTATATCCGGCGAAACTTCTTCCATCGAAAGTAGCGACCGTGTTAAGCGCCGGCGATCGTGCTCGGCGGGCTTGTTCAACTAAGTTTTATTGACGCCTGGAATTTGTTCGGTTGTCGCCGCGACATTGGGTCTTGGCGATGATCAGTGACGAATGAAACGTCCAAAACGGCGTCAATTGCCGAGCAATCTTTCCTTTTTCCATTCAACGAATAAGCTCGTACGCCTTTAGAATATTTGAAAAATGATGTAGTCGGTGTATACAGTCAGTGAACGAGATACTTTTCCAACATTGATGTTAGATTGTCGCCTTCGATATGTCGCATCGGCGCATATGAAAGCGAATCACGTCGGGACGTTAAAGAAATCAGTTTTACCTCTCGGATTTCTTCTTCGCGTAGGTTGTCTGTAAAGTTTGAATGGTACGGGAGAGAGTATCAGGTGGAATTTAATCATATAAATGGACGAGCGTCCGATCCAAACTCAGCCCGATACGAAAAAATAAAAGTTTTACGCACGCGGCACCTCGTCCCGTCCGAAGAGGAGAGAAAATCCCCTCGGAATTTTTTCCGATCGAATTAGTCTCGGTAAAACTTTATTTCGCAGTGCTCGCGAGCCTTCTCTCCCCTTCTTCGTTGGGTCTATTTTTTTTAATTTGCTGACAAAACGCATTCGACCGACGGAACTACCCCATGTTTATTCAGGGAGGTTTTTATGTGATTTAAAGACAAACGCCGAGAGAATCACCATTATGAAGTGAGAAAAAAAAGAAGATACTAACTGAAAGCAATTTTCTTATTTCATGTTTATTTCATAACGTTCAAAAGTGCTAAAAATAAATGTTGTGTGCATAAATGTAATTATGCAGATATAAACGTTCACAACGAGATTTTTTGTCCAGCATTATTATACAATTTTTTAAATGCCAAAATTTTCTATAATAATGTAATTTTCCAACACTATTGAAACATCGATCTCAATTTCTCTGTGGCTGAACTGAAAGTATCCGAAAGCACTGCGAATCGTGAGAACGTGGCGAGAAAACAATCGTGCGACTTTTGTTTCGTTTTGCCGTCACGTTCATGGACTTCGCGTGCCATCGCGTCGCGGATACTAATCGAACATAAAAGAGAGGAACTAAAGTCGCCCGCAGGATCGACGTTGCCGGGTTTTTCCAGAGTTTGAGCCCGAGGGGCTCCCCAGCTCTTCGAAAGAACAATTAGTATTGTCGAACGAACCAGAACTCCCGTGCGATGTGCTGCTTCGAACATAGTTATTCTGGAATTTTTCGGGATAAAGCCAATCGTAAAACCTGCTTTATTGGCGCCTCTGCCTTCGAAGTTCTCGACAAGTCTTTCTATGCCGGAATAGCGGCCATCGAATTTTCGTAGTTACAGTGATATTAAGAATAAATTGACTTCATTTTGTTAGGACTCCTGTTCATTCACCACTATTATTTCAGATTGTGGCGTCAAAAGTGAAAAAACAAACAATAAAAATTTTTGCAAATTGTATTTAAATAGAAATATTTTTCAATAAAACAACCTTTGCAATCGATAAAACCGAAAATTGTCTTCTTATTTCGGAGAGAAATTAAATTATATTTATTTCTATATGTTATTAATTTGACAGTTTGTCATAGTTATGAACATAGCTAATGTCATTTTTTTATTATGCATTTCCAGATATTAATTATTTATTAATTGACAATAAAAAAGGAGAGTTTTCGGTATATTTTACGATTTTATTGATTGAAAGTGTTATTTTATTTCCATTTAAATAAATATATTTTTTTTGCAAGAATTTTTATTGTGCATTTTCTCGCTTCTGATATCATAATCTAACATAAATAGTAGTAAACAGCCAGAGTCTTAAGCACATTTTTTTTTTGTATTTATAATTAGATTTAACTATTGAATTTTTATATATTATATCACACAACGCTTTTATTTTTAAACATAACTCGTTACGTCAAATATACTTTAATATGAATTCTATATTCTTCTTGTAGACCAATCATTAAGACATATCTGTCTCCACGAATTGTAACAATCATTATTCTAACGTAAGTACAATTTTAACATACTCTCTTATATTCGCTTCGATAATTTTATTAATACATTAATCCATAATCGCATTATAGAATCCTTTATTTCCTGTTGGCCATTCTTCATATCCTACTATTTAAAAATTGTAAATTGCTACGCGTGCAATTAATATTAACTACGATTGTGGTAAATGATTTATCGTAGCCGTTAATGTCAAAACAAAATTTTTCCTGCGATTCGTGTTGGCATCAGCTAAAATTAACAGTCCTATTACTTATAGAAAGTGACACTTGTGCTTTTGCTTCTGACGCTGTTGTCCATGACGAAAGTGGAGGGTTGGAATGCTACTGGTTTAGTGTCATTAACATTAATTATCGTCGTTATTATAAAGCTCTTCGGTATCGCCATTGCGTACTCTGATCTGGTAAAACGCCCCTCTTCCCCAATTCTACAATGCATTAAATCAAAGATACGTTTAGTGAGAGTGAAATAAATTGCATTAGTATGTTTGCCATTGCGTCGAAAGCTCGTTGACCTGTTCACAAGCATTATCACACGTGTTAAGCTCGACAAATCAATTGGCCGACAGGTGGACATGAGCGGTGACTGGTCGTATTTAATAGAATTTGGTTTTGGCGTTATATTAATCGCCATTGTAGTCGGAATAGAGTTGCTCGTAATTATGCGCACGCTGCATACAGTGGCTGTTATCGCTGCTGTATTCGGTACATTCCTCAGCTCGGTAAATATAAAACAGACGTTACTAATAAAATAAATTTAAAACATCGAGCAAATAAAAATTTATTTCTCGAATTAACAACTGTTCGCTCTCAGGTATCACTGATGGATCTTCATCAGAATATGAGCGTCAACTCTTGGTGGTGGGAGAAAAAGCTGATCAACGGATGCATGTACCAAGTGTTTAGGCAATACACACTGTTATGGTGTCTACGAATCGAGGAGAAACCACGCGTAATAACGATATTCGATAGCGCGCCTAACGAGCAAGAGCTCGACGTGACTATATCAAATAGCCAATGAAGTCTAATACTTATCCTTTTAATGTTGCATTAACTCTTTCTATAAATATAACATTCACGGCGTCGGGAATCCACGGAATCACAATTTTTACGTTTTTTGATTTAGAAGATATTGTTTCTTAAATTACTTTTCACGCGCGCAAATACTATGCGACATGTAGGAAACCGTGAAGTATATCATTAAAGAATTATATATAAGAAATATATCGTTGTGATTTGAATTTTTACGATCCATACGATCGCAACGACTACCTAGAGGGACTTTGACAATCGGTATTCCAAAAAAAAAAAGAAAAGGGTAATATCAACGTAGAAACCGAGCTTGTCTTAAATTAAGAGACTGAGTTTTACGACTATTGCCGTTCCTTTGCTTTCTTAAGTGTTCTATCGTATATCTTGGAATCTATTTTACGAGTAACTCGATACTACCGGCTACGCTACTTTTTCGATTGAATTATACACTGATAGATATCAAAAAAGCAATAGAGTAGCTCAATCTCTTGAGTTAAATAACAGTTTTTTTATTTTTAATTTCCATGTCAAAATATAAATCAATCCATATTTGTGATTAGTTTCAAAGTAAACAATGCTCATATTATAATGTACGCACTTAAATAAAGAATAAACTAAATTTGAGTCTCTCTCTCTCTCTCTCAAATTTAATACATATTCTTGAGTTAAATTGTTTAACTTTATTGTTTTAGTTAAATTAACGACATATATATATATATATATATATATATATATATATTGAGTAGGAGCAGTGACGACTTGAAAGAAATAATTAAAAATAACTCAAATCGTAATTGGGTATAATTTTTAACATTACGAATTTAACAGTACATGTCTTGGTTGCAAAGTACCCATTTTAAAACACCTTCATGTTTGAGTCTTTTGACACTATCTACTCTTGTATTTCCAATAATATTGCATTTTTATTATAAAAAAAAATAAAAAATTATATACATCATAGTTTTGCTTTTTTCTTAAAAATCATAATTTTATTCAATATTATATACTCGTTGAATATAAAGAAACACAAATAGTCCTTTCGTATCAAATGCGTGCATCTGACGAGCATTCTGCTATCTTTTTTCTTGTAACTTCTCACTGACACGCTGGCAAAGTGAAGTATAGTATCTATCTTTTCGTGTTCGACAAACGCGTAAAGAAAGGAAAATAAAGACACGAAGAGGACCAAAAGAGCACGGTAAATATTTCGCCATCTTCAGTCAGGACTTATCGGTCATAAAATGGCACTTCGGACACTCAAGGGAATATTATGTCGACTGTGTCGCGATGCCACGAGTACTCGCGGTCGAGGGACAAATCTTATCGACCTGTGACACGGGACAGAAGGTGCGCACACTGTCTGACCACTTTCGGAAAAGCAAACAGCGGCATCGGGCAACCGAGTAAGGAGAGACCCTGTCTCTCTCTTCTCGAATAAAAGAGAGAGAGAGAGAGAGAGAGAGAGAGAAATAAAATACGTAGCGGTCTATACGGCGAGAAGGAAGTAAAACGGTCCAAGGGCCGGACGAGCGACGAAGAAGTAAGGAAGCACCTTTTAGTTCCCACGAGATTTTGCGGCTCGTGGTCGAGCCCGAGGGAACCGGTGGAAGCAGAATCAATTTTACGGACGGCCGGCTATCGATACCATGCCGATTGGTATCGATCCTATAAAGAAAGAGAGAGAGACCGAGCCACTTCTTCTATCCTCACAGAGGGACACGATGTGACGCGAAATTACCCGCTCTTCCAATCCGGACGTCCTCGGGACGTTCCAGTGCTCTCGTCAAACGAGAAGCGGCTTAGAAGTCCTTGCCTCTTTCAATTTGCAGGAACCGGCTAGCGACCGTCTACATCGATGATGAAACAAGCCGGCGTTATTTCCAACGAGCTTCTATCGTAGTTTCCTCAACCCGGATGATGACTACCTACCGAGCTTATTCCTTATAAAAGCTCGCGCCGTTCCGTCAGAGACTGCATGTATGACAGAATCAATTTTCTCAGAATAGAGAAACACGCCGATAAGCTTTCGTTGAAGCAATCAGTGCTCCTAAACGGATACGACTATCGCGTTATCGTTCGTTTATAAAGCTTTATAAATACTATGTTACTTTTTTTCAAGAAATAGTTGTTTTGTATCGCGAACTCGATAGCAATCCGCATAAAAGTTTAATAGAAATGTGTACATAGATAACGTGTCTATTGGAAAAGGCAGAATAAATTTAACGGTTTCAATTTTTCAGAAATGACTCAAATAGCTTCTCTCCCCTAACGATTTCAATCCAAGAGACTTCGTGATTTAATCGTCTACGACAAGAATTGCTGTAACGGTATTGTCGAAAATCTCGCGATAATAATAGGTTGAATATGATTTATTAACCGTAACCGTTCGGCACAACGATTATAACCGCAATTAACTCGATGGGAAGTAAGAACGTCGAAGGCGGAATCGTGCACTTGTGCAACATGCGCAATAGCACGAGCTGATAAAAACGGGCGATAAAAGATGACGACTCGTAGGACTATTGCTACGTGCATTTATTATTTTCATGATAATGCTAAGGCAGCCAAGGATGGTATTTACATGTCGTACGTAAGATTGAACATTCTCTATCTGTAGTCGAGATTCATAAATCATGCAGTGCAAATTCAAAATCTATACCTTGGAAATGCAGTATTTCGTGCTAACAATACAAATTATTAAGGAATATTAAATCACAATTGTTACAAATCATTTGCGAATCAAAATTGTCAATAAAAGCTACAGCAATTATTAATACTGAAATATTCACAAATATTACCAAATTACATAATACTCGCAAAATTGGATGATATAAACAACTTAAGGAGGTTGTAAGGCAAATGCAATATGTTAAGAACTACTTGAAAAAAATTACAGACTATTCTAAATTTCATTTAATAATAATACAAAAAAAATAGAAACAATTAACCATCTGGATCAAAAGTTATTTAAATAAGTAGTAATATTTTTTTAATTTGTACTCTAATATAAATATATGAAAATGTATTATAAAATAATGATAAAAATCTCAATTTTTTTATATAAATACTCTACGAATTCAACAATATTTTTATAAAGTTATCTTGAGCAGACATTAATTGTTCAGTAAATAAATAAAATTTATTATGTGTTATAAACTAATGGTGAATCTCAATGAAACTTTGCATAAGTCATGTTTAGTACTTAATATATTTATATAAAAACATTTAGATTTTTCTTATTATTTTAACAATTTTTGTTTATAACAATAAAACTAATAACAAATAAAATAAATGACCTATAAAAATGTGTTGCTCAATAAAACCAGAGTGTTATGAACACAACTTTCACATGTATGTAGTTTGTTTAAAGCGAAAATATTAATATATGTGTTTTATGCCCTTACAACCTCCTTAAACGTATCGACTTTTCGACTTTTAGTTCGAGTTCTCTTCAACGCGATGGGAAACAGATAGAAAGATAGAAAGTTCTGATCTCTCCTCCAACACAGTCAATTAAATAAGATTTCGGGTAATCAAATTATGTAAAATCTAAAGATCTGAAGGCATTGAGTTAGGAGTAGTAGATAGCGGAATCAGCAGATAGTTAAGAAGAGAAATCAGAAATTGAGAAGATGACAATTGTGAATTATTATAAATCAAACGAGATTATATCTACTGAGTGGGAACGTTCAATTAAGAAACTGTGCAAATACAAAACAGATATCGTTTACCGAACGGATCGTAACAAACGATTTAGATGATTTACGGCGACGTTAAAGTCGTGGCAACGTGGCAACGAGGCGTGCTCCGGTGGTCGCGTGATTCGCGTTTGCCATGGCAATAGGCGTCTAAGAGAAGATAATTATCTCGGATCCTTCGTGCCTCCGTGAAACGTTATTAAATCAGGCAATCAGTTTTTCGAGAGTCAAAGCAAGGAGGGTACGCGCGAGAAATAAGCGACGCGCGAACCAGTCCGATTTACAGCTAGCCAGTAAGGCGCCGTCTCAACGAGCGACTAACGACAGCCACTTTACGACACCCACGCTCAGTGCTCGCTGCTCGAACGGTTATTAATTACGCGGCACCGGGTTTTCGTGTTCACCTCCACCCTCCGCCTTTCTCAACGTGTTTTCCTCACGCGCGCTCTCCTCGACGATTCTTTGAAGCCGGGGCGCGCTTCGATCGGTCTCTGGGCGATACTTTGCACGATCCGCACATTCTTCTTTGTCTTTACGTTTGTATCCCAATGGCCTTTCAACGTCGCCTTTTAACGTTATTTATCGTTCATTCGAATCGTTTATCAGCCATCTCCTAACCGAAACACGAAACTTTACAAAACTGTATTGTTCGTCGGATTGGAATGTTCTTCGACATGTTCTGTGAAACTTAAATCTAATTTATATGCCTATCAATTGGATTACGCAACAACTAAGCAACGTTAGAATTCTTACAAGTGTACATAGCTGTGTTAGATTTCTCGAGAACTACTTACACTGACGTGAGAAAAATGGTTTGAAAATTTGAATATAACCAACAAGACATCGTATATATGGTTGAATGGATTTTAGGCCAGATTTCCAACTAATCCAATCCTTTTTTCAGCATCCAGAGCATTTCGTCATCTACGTACGTCATGACGCGTTTAAACGACGCTCGACGTCGCGAACTTGAAACCTCCAAGGAAATCTTCAAGACATTCCTTGAAACACCGTTATTTGTCAAATGCGGATACAGGTTTTTCTTGTTTTCAGATTTCTTTTGAACACTGACGGCGGCACAGTGGTCTCTCTGCTATTCGTCCGAGACGAACGGCATCGAGTATTCTTTTTTTACATATCGTAACGGCTCTTCTCTTGCGCCTTTGACGTTCTCTTTGTCGCGTGCCACCGAGGGGAGTTACGAAGCAGCAGCGCGAGGCCTCCTTGAAACTTCTTCATTCGTCAAATTAGAATTCGCCTTTTTACCGAAGCGACGGCTTTCCAGGTTCCCTCGGGGGCTTCTCGACGACGCCTCGTCGAGACAATGGATCAAAGGATCACACGACC